TATAAATAAACATTAATTATAAAATTACATGTTTATAAATGTGTAATTTATGTAAAACTTAGTATGTATGGTTAGTATGTTAATATTATATCATTCAATCACTGAATTATTAAATTTGTACTTTATAAAAATTATTAGAAATGCAATTTTGATAGAAATAAGTATTACTAAAGTAATTTAAGTTTAACCATATAAATGAAACATATTTCTCTAGCATTTAAGTTGTTTGAGGTATATTGTAGTGTCAACATTGTTGAAAAAAGTAATATAGGGACGAAATTGGAATAGAAGCCACTTTTGAAAAATATATTGCTATTTTGCTTATTTTCGGTAGATAAAAGTTACATAGATTGTTGAATTTCTCAAATTCTAATTTGATAAGGAGTTTGACTTTTAATTTAGTTATTAATTTTTCAAATTCATTTACGTGTCCGTGTTTTTCTTTTCTTTTCTTTTGTGAAAACTTTTAAACAAGTTTGTAAGTTTTAAAAGATATAAATGGGTTCAAATAGTTTCAACACCTTCTTCAATGGGTTTGAATATAATACAGTGTTAGGTTCCTATAAAATTGGGTTGCTATTTGTTAAGCGATTTAACTCATGACAAGTTAAGGGAAAAAAAAACTGTCAATTTGAGTGGGTTATTAATTTTATCAATTGAAAAATGAAGTTTGTGTCTATTGAAAGTTGTTAATCCCTTACAAAGTGGGGAATGACCACTCCAATTCTTATTGGGAGAGATTTGTGGAAAAAACGGGGCAATTGACTCATAAAAGCAACTCATCACACGTGTCTATTTTATTCATTTTAATATATATATATATATATATATATATATATATATATTATCTTCTTAAGAAAATTAGAAAAATAGGTGATTTTTTAAAAATTTAAACCAAAAAAATAAATTAAAAGGTCTCTGTTTTATCTTTTACTTGAAATTATTATAAAATCAAAATAAATAGAAAATCTAGTTTGTTAGTTTAACATCAAACTTTTTCATAATTATTTTATTAGTTCATTTATTATTTATTTTAAATTTTTAATAGTATATGAAGGGAATGATTCGAAAGATAAAAGATGAAAAGAGGAGAAGGAAAGAAGATAGTTAAAAAAAATTAAAAATATGAGCTTACAAGAATTTTAAAAAAATTTTATTTATATTTTAAAAAAATTTAAACAAAAATTATTATCAAATAAATTTTTCTTTTTTCTTCTTTAAAAGTCAAAATATATTAAGTCCAGCTCTAAAATTAATTTCACACTTCATTTTTTAATTTGAACAAATAAACAATTTTGAGATCCAACACATTTAATTTTAGTAAATATAATTCAATTTCTTTTATAAGGTTTTAAAACTCTTTATAATTGGACTTTCTTCAAATGAGCACGGTCATAAGCAGATCATGCATAGGCTCGAAATACCTGTACTTGTTGAAAGGGTCTAAGCATCTAAAATGTATCCAAAATTTACTTGTAATTTTTTTATATTAAATTGCATAATTTATATATAAATTAATATAAAACTTAAATAAAATAAAAGTCAAATATAAAATACATGTCCTGTAAAAAAAATCTAAATATAAACTTATCAAAAAGATTACACACAACTTAGTAATTAATTAGTTACTTTAAATAATGTAATTGAAATTTTTTCAAAAGATTATAATTCATTTATAATCTTTAAATTATAAGTACTTAATTATCTAAAAATATTTGAGACTCAAAAATCTACTGAGTAATTCGACTTTTTAGCTATTATATACGTTGTTTATCCATTACATAAGAATAATATAACAATTTAGTCCATACAATTTTAAATGTTAATTAATTTAGTCTTTAACGTTATCAAATAAAAAACTATTTTAAACTTTAAATACTCAAAACAAGGAATAAAATAATTTATATTTTTAAAATTTCATACAACTAGAATAATATTATATATATATATATATATATATATACTAATAATACTTTATAATTAAAAAAATAACTAGTACTCATAATTACAAGGAGTAATTTAAATTATTAATCATTAAATAATAAACATGATTAAAGACACAGATCCAAAATAATAAAATAAAAATTAGCTAGTAAAGTTTAAAAGATACATAATTAGTGGAAAAACATTAAATGCAAAATATAAAACAAGGTGAACCAGTTGATAATGGCATTAGCCAGCTAGTGAATGAATGAAAGGAAAAGAAGTTAAAGTTTTCTACTTTGTTGTTCCATGCCACAATGGCTTCATGTAAACACCCTTACAAAATGTAGATAAATACCTGGATACTCAATATTATTATCCTAAGACGATGCAATTATTGTATTCCACCTCTTAATTTCCGACAGAAAACTCCAAAACTTGTGTTTTGTCTTGACACAAAGCTTCCATTTTGTTATGTTACTACAATTTCCAATGTGCCCTTGTTTGTGCCAAATGCTTGATGCTTGATTCCATATTCCCATCATATGCCGAAAATAACAACATTTTCCCTAGTTTTAATCTCAACAAATTTTATTGCTATCAAACATATAAATACAACATCCTGCAAAGCCAGAATTGTCTCACATAAACAAGTAACAAGTAGTCAAATAAGTGTCCTTAATTTGATCATTAAGGAATAATGATGAATGGCAACAGCAGCTTCCTCGTTTGCTTTTCTTTGGGGACATTTTTCCTCCTACTCAACCGCGCTAATGCCGAATGTTAGTACTTTTTTTTCCTCACATCTTTCCTTTTCGTTTGCATAGAGTAATAATCATTTTGTTTGGATGAAGGGAAAAAAAAAGGAAGAGAAATAGTTTTGAAATTTAAACTTTTTCTTATTTGTTGAAGGAAAAATGAAAAGAAAGAAGAGAGAAAAACTGACTTCAAGAAACCAGAAAAGGATATCTTCAGACCCTCTTACTCAAATTTCATATATATATATATATATATATATATATATATATATATACATATATATATATATAACAAAAGACTCTTTTAAATATACTCTGTGATGAGTCAATTTTTTTAAAACAATTTAAAACAATTACATCATAAATTAGTCACTTTTTAAAAATTAATCAATCACAAAAATTGTGTTAAAATGTATATTTAAAAGAGTACGTTATGAGCAAAAAAAAAGATTATATATTCTTATTTTCTTTCCTCTCATACAAACATACTGAGTTGCCTTTTCATTTCAGTGCTTAACTCATTTAGAAAATTCCCCAAAGACTATAATAATAATAAATAAATAAATAAAAACTTGACTTTTTGTGTGTCTCCTTTCAGATACAGCTGAGCCGAGGCGAAATGTAAATTTAAGTCCAATCGAAAGTATAAGGAGCACTTACTTCTGCTTGATGAATGTAATCAGCCACATGTGCTGCTTCTTTACACATTAGCATTTAAAATTTTCCCTTAAATTAGCAATGAACAGAATTAGATTAATTTGATCTCTTCACGTCATAATATTAATGCGTATTATTTCAACATATGTACATGTAGACATCAGGGCCTTGCTTGAGCAAAAACGGATACACACTCACACTGAATGGTGTGATAAATGTGCAAAATGGTGATATCAATGACTTCTGTTCAAATGGCTGCTATCAGCACACCTTATCTGTCTTACAGTGCATCCAAGATGTCAACAAAGGTTTCAAATTCGGGACCAAACAACCCATCTCCTTTGTCAGGAATACCACTATCAAGGCTTGCAATCAGCTTCTAGGTAAAAAGTTAACACTACCCATAATAGTACATGTAAATATTATACGCACACCGAATCTAAGCAAATAATGATTCTTTCAAAAGCTATTTCCTCAACTGCATATACAATAGTTTCAATATTACAACATTAAATAATATTATGGCTATGTTTAGATACACAGTTTATTTTATTTTATTTTAAATAAATACATGATAGCTTGTGTCATAAATTTAATGATAAAACAACTTATTTTGATAGATTATATTAAGAAGTTTATTGAAATAAATTCAACAAAAAGATATTTTTCATAACCTAGGTTATATATTATTTGATATCTTCAATGAGGTGTAAACACCTTGTTAAGGAGACATGAAGAGAGAGAGAAATAAAAATTGTGATGAGTTTAACAGAAAAAACAAAAAAAATAAAACAAATAAAAAGCTGTGTAAAAGATTAAGTGTCAATATATCATAATGTATTAATAAATTGCATGTGCCAATTTTGGGGACAGTAACTATTAAATTCTATTTTTGGTGCTGCCGATTATGCAGGTTTTAATACAAATTTTACAAATCCAAACAGTGCCACAAGTTTGTATGGGAGATTTACAATGCCACTTCTTTCAACACTAACCACGACGGCCTTCATTGCCACCTTCGGTGTGTAACAGTTTTCTCAAACACAGGTGAATGCATACAGGGGCAGAGGATCGATAAGATGGCAGACACATGGACATTGAATTGAAGTTGAGAATCTTATGATTTCACTAAATAAATAAGCAAGTGGTGGTAGTTCGGATAATTTTCAATATGAATAGCCAATTAACGAAAAAATATAAAAACCAAATTTAATTATAACAAGAATTACTTGTTATTGTGTATCTCATATATACCTAAAATTATTGATGTTAGTTGAAGTTATAAGAAAAATAATTTTCTTAAAATTAATAATGAGTTCGAACGATGTGAATGAAAAATAAGTATAAAAGGAATTTTCTCTTAAGTGGGCCTCAATTTAATTAGGATTGAAAATGATTTCCAAATACTCCATGTCTTCAAAAAAATTTCATACCTAAATTTCTAATGTGAAGATCAGCACAGCGAAAATATGACTTGGAGGGATAGTTTGTTTTCAATTGGCCTTTATTGTTCATAATTAACCAGAAAAATGGCCTAAAATGGCACAACCAATGCGACGTACGATGTAGAAGAATTAGTCCATTAGGAAGTGATTAATAATTTGATGCTTCTCACCTACAACTCTTCCGAAATTGCATTTGAAGCAATCAAACGTAATGTTGCACAAAAGAAATATTTTATTGTCCAAAACTAGATTTACTCTCAGTAGCATGTTTGACAAGCAAAATAATGTTATTTTTTACATTAAGAATTTTATACTAAATTTTATTACAGACTCGACTTACAAATAAAAGTTGTAAAACGTAAGTCACTTTAAACCAAACACACTTTTTAACCAAAATTAAGATCACCTAAAATCAAATTTGCGAGCAATCAACAAGTACACTTATTTCTTGATTGTTGCAAGGGCTTAAATTTCATGACTGGTTTGTTCCATTTGGTCCTGGAGGCGGCAAAAAGAAGTTGACACTGAAGGTCTCTGTTTTCAAGTAGTTCACTGTTGATAGTTGCTCTTTCTTGGTTAGGATATTTGGAAGGTATCTATATGCGTGTCCAAGTTTTGGTTGTGAACAATAAAATTGAAAATTTGGACACAAACAACACCCCGCCACGGAATAGGCTCACATCTTAAAGCCACTAAATCACAAGTACAAGCGTAAATGGACTTAGAATACGTGATTTTCTAAATGACCTAAATACGTCAAATGGTTTGTGTAATGTGTTACTATCGTTTTCCTTAAAAGAATTATACTAGCACCCGATAGATAAAAGAGATAACAACATTGACCCATAAAAGATACCATTACTGCAACACACTCAAAATTGGAGTAGAGTAAGTTACATCATACATGGGAAAACTTCTCGTAAAGGTTCGTTTCCCCAAGCCAGATTCGGCATTGATAAAAAGTAGGACCAAATTATGTCCCCGTGTTCCTTCTGCCAACACGAGCAACAAAACCAGCCTTGATTGGAGCAACTGATCTTCCTGATCCACACTGAAAGCAATAAACCAGTATTAGGATAAACATCTTTCATTGTTTTAATATCATTACATATATAATATAAATAGCTGGAGAGAAATCGTCCATAAACATTATGAGGAGAAACTACCACAATCATTGATAAAAATAACCACCACAATCCATAACAGTCTAATTGACCATAAATAAAAGGAACTAATCACATGAAACTGGGTATGAAAACCGAGAGCCCAAGACGAAAAAGAGAAGCAGGCCTAAGTGCACAGAAAATTCACCTTCTCACAGCGGAGAAAGAACAGACGGTTCTCCTTTGTAAGTATAGTGTCTGGACTCTTGCATCCAAGGCAAATGACATATTCATCTGAGAAGAAAAATGCCCGTTAAATTCAATCAGTGACCAGAAATACACAGCAAAAGCAATAACCATATTGTTCTGCTTGGCCGAATGTATAGAAAAAATTAGTGGGAAATTTATAAAACAATACAATTACAAACGCCAGCACAACATAGAACTTTCGTACTTACCAACCTTAGATTTCTACAACAAATCAGATGATCAAAGATTAAAATCAAATACTTACTGACATATCGTCGCAGAATTCCTTCAAAGTTCTTTGGTGCAAATCTTCCCTTTACAACCAATCTCTGCTGTCCATCGAGGGAGCCACTTGTACCCAGTTCAGCAAGCAAGAAAGCCATGACATGATCTGGCTGCCGATGCATCCTAAAAAATTGGGTAGCAGTAAATTAAATAAGGGAAGCATATGATGCAAAATTAGTTTCTTAACTGCAGAAAAATATGCCATGGCAATGGTGGAACCCACAGTCAACAAAACAAAAAATAACCAAAAGGGAACAATCATCATTAGATGAACAGAATCATTAGCAGAAACACAGTAGTCAATATCAAATAGGGATGTACAGCGGCTGACTCCAAAAATGTTATAGCAGTAACAGGACGATTGTTATTTTGAAGTATTAAGATACACAACAAAAATAATACACACAAATATAAATGCTGAAATATAAAATAAAATAACTAAAAAACAACATTCATAATTAATGAGTAAAATTCAGGATTTGACTGCTAAACAAACACGTAAATAACAAGATAATCAAGGAATCAAAACAAGTTTAAGCTTCTCTCCAGCGGTGCTTGGTGTTGTTCCTTGTAGCTGACTGGATCCTGCCATAACTGTTTCAGACTTATAGAGAGGTTGAAGGACAGAAAAAAGAAGAAAGAAAGCAGAGCAAAGCTGAGATGGGTATGGGCAGGCCAGAACAATGAAAGGCACGCTGGAAAATGGTCATAAAAGAGATGGATAATTTAAATGGCACAAAAACAGGATCAGAACTGGCTTCTAGAATCACTGCAGAAATAGTGGCCAAGATGGTTACAAAAATCCTGCTACAGCAGCCACAATTTGGTCCACCACCACAAGGGTGATTGGAGGGGAAGGGGGTTGCTACACACCATGCTGCAGTTGTGCGCCATTTAAACCCGAGTAAATTTGCCTTAAAAGTTTTATTTTGAGGGCATTCATATATTGGGCAAACATTTTGCATTCACACAAGGAAAGTTAATCTCAGAATCATAGAGATCTCAAAAGAAAACTGCAGACAATTGTTAAGTTCTAAAGATATGCCAGTTTAAAACTTCCTAGGAAATAAGAACTCCAGAGAAAATTCAGGATTTGCTCGTATGCATGCTGGAGAAACCTAGTTTCAGATAAAATATTGACTCACGTTTTGCATAGATCCATAAAATTCACAAACACTGTCTTCTTTGTGCCCTCACGAAGAACTTGAGGAGGCCTCATAACTGTTCTTCGGCGATCTCCAGCAAGTTCTGGATTATTCTCACGTAGAATGTTAAACACCCTGCCAAGAAGCTGCACCAAAAACCACAAATTAAGGAGAGATTTATTACAAGGGGGACAGAAGGGAAGCAGTTTCCATATAAAGGAAGAACAGAGTAGACAAAAAATGCTTTTGGCAGTATTTTATGGATTTATCATTTATAGTTGGACACCATATTAACACAATTCCATTTAGATGGTTTAGGATTTAAGGTTTACAAAACACTAGCACTTCTTGATCCAAGAAGGATAAAGTGCCAATACATTCACGTATAATCAATCTTATGTACTAGCCAGGCACACATAAATCATCAAATAACATGCTTCCATCTTAAAAATTTCAAGCATATATAAGAGTCTACAACATCAGCCCCCTTACAAGGCCCTACACATCACCTATTAAACCAATGTGGAGCCATAGAAGGAAGATTCACAAGAACCATGAAATAATTATCAGAATCATGGATGAAAAGTAAAATCAGCTAGAAACACTTTGGAACTAAGTGAAGAGGACAAGATCCACGGCAAATAAGATTGACATTTGAGACATTACAATCTAGTTGTCAGTATAACAGTGTAGAAACAGAGTACGTAAATTGCAACATACCTCCTCATATTCATAATCACGATCACTCCCTTCCCAAGGATAACCAGCCTGAGAAGCAACCATTTCTCCTTCATCATCTTCAGCTTGATCTAAAAGCCAATGAAGTTTATCAAATGTTCAGTATTTAATTAACTTTCACTCAAGACATTACTTGAAGACAGAAAAAACATAAGTCCACTATTCACACACAGAATTTTTACCAAAAAATTATATGACTGCTTACCATCCAACTCTTCAATTGCGTCGCCACTCTCGTCATTCAAGTTACTGATTTCAACCTACAGTCAAACAAAAGTATCAAATTGCTTCCAACAAAAAACTAACATGTCAAAGGCTCAAACTTTCAGAAGAGAAATAATTCATTGGAAAAACCTCATTAGCAATAAATATGACTTACAGGCTTCTTCTTCTTTTTCAAACCAGCAAATGGAGTCTCGACCCCATCAGAAACTGCAAGTGGAAAACTAATGAGAATCGTGCATAAGCACAATATCCAGATAGCATTGAACATAGAAACCACAAAAGTAAGTTGCTTGTTTTGTTTTGCATACCAGAGAGGTTTTCTGTTTTCTCAGTCAATTTGTCCACTGAGTCATCAGCAGGATCTACAATTGTAATTTTCTTCTTCTTTTTCTTCTTAGTAGGATCAAATGGTGCAATCTGTGATTTAGAAATTCAGGCATCAGAACACGGTACTGCCACAGAAAACTGAATCACCAGCTAACCAACGTGGTTGGTGAGCAAGATACCATGCATCACAATACCATCATAATAAATCAGCAAATCACAAGAACAAGATTTTAAAATCCTGACTTTATGGCCTTGTGCTGAATCATGGGAAAAACATGGAGGAACCATTTGTTAAATTATAGATAACTAAGGAGAAGATAAACTTACTTCTGCAACCTCCTCCTTCGTATCATTTTGCGTTTCATCCGCCATGATTGCTGCAACACAATTTAAAAAAAAGTTTGAACATGACTACAGAATTAGGAATAACAGAGACAAAAAAACAATAAAACCTTTTAGGAACTGAACAGAATAATGTAGAAGATTCAGGAAAATATTCTTAAATCAAATTGTGTTCAAAACTTAAGAAAATTCTGTAAAAGCATCACTCCATAACACTCCTCAAGTCTTGTTGCAAATTTCACGGCGTAAACAAACGCAACAACAAACCAAAACCTTAATTGTCAATCCCTATAAAGCATAAGCTACTTCCAAACAACCACCCTATCACATCCTGCACGAGTAGTATGTGAAGCTCTCAACTACAGAAATTACGAAAACACGACACTGTGTGTCTTTAAATTAGCTTATTATGTGTCCAAACCATACTTATAAAACGATCATTTCCCCCTAATAGTCAAAACCATAGACGCCTTAAAGATACGAGAAACGGATTTCAGAAACACGCATCGAATTGGATAACTTGAAAAAGGAGATAAATAACTGAAAACGAAGCAAAACCTTATAAAGTGCAGAGAAAAACTTTGAAGTGTGAGCAAAGAGTATCTAATCCCTTGAGACGAAGAGGGTGGCCTGTGGCTCAGTGCGTTGAGGAATCGAAAACCCTTTCTTTCGCCTCCAAAACTGTGCGTTGCAGGTCCCTTCTCTTTTTTTTTTTTAGTGCACTTTTAATTAGTTTGGGCCTTCTCATCAGTTTCTCGTCATGTGCAGATATGTATTGGGCCTTTTACATTGAAACGATTCAGGTCAACTTATGGATGCTGTTATTACCAAGCTTGTAAAATCACGAAATGATCTAACTATTTGTTGATGAAAAAAATCAACTATTCATCTCACAAAATCTATAGATTGCATTACTGTGACTATAGATTGAGAATTGATATATGTTTAATTTTTTAAAACTTCATTACAAGACAGTAATGCAATCAACTTGGTGTTTTATTCAAACGCAATCCATGGGGTCCAGTTTGAGTCGGCAGCCGCACAGTGCACACATGTGAAGAAACAAAATATTCAAAGAGAGAGAGAGAACGACTCGACCAAAACAAACCTGAAAGAACGACAAAAGTAAAGACAAACAAGCATGATACTGAAAAAAACAAAAGTAAATTAACATGAACGGTGTTTTCTATAGGAATAGAATTATTACATATATGAATTATTTAAACCTAATTGTTTAAAAAAAGATATAACTTTATTTTATTGAATTATATTTTATTAAAAGACTAAAGTACTATCACTTCATTTTATTTTTTTTACTTCATTTGACACACACAAAAGTAAATTAATTTGAGCATAAAGAAATGTAAATTCTTGCCAATCACACACTCTTAGGCTTGTGGATTATATTATTTATCTCATAATATTTTATCCGAATTCATTTGATGCTAAGGTAGATTACTAGATTAGTCACGTCATAATAATAATTTCTCTTCCAGCCGATCCTCTTACTCACTGATAATCATTTTTCTTTTTTTAAAACATTAACCAATACATTTACTTTCTAAAATATATTTAACTTTATAAAGTAAAAAAATTAACTTAACCGACTTTAAGTCAAAGATAAACATAATCTTTATTCTTTTACTTTACACGCTTTTCTATTTTAGAAAATACATGCTATCATGATTGCTTTTGTTATCATCTATGATACAATTTTTGTGTCATTTTATTCAACCCAGTAAGAAAACTATGAAGTTAAAATGTTGGAAAATTTTGCAATCGACAGGCCCACCAAAGGTGGGAAATGGTCAACAATGGGGAATAAATTTCACAATCTCACATTAATCACTGATTCACCGACGGCAACTAATGATTGTAGAGTGAGTAGACTCAAAAATTTGGCAATTGGGGTATTTAGAATTTCGAAGTCAGCATGGTATGCGGAATTGGAGTTGGACCTGTGCTTGACTGAAATGACCAAAACTGAGGCAAACTTAAGGCCCGATTTCAGGTTCATCTCCCCCTTCCTTTTCAAGTCCCATTCAATCCCCTAATCTCCAATCTCATTTCAAAATGCAAACCAATCTCATAGGCAAAATATGATATCAATGGCCCCATCAATGCATTGATGAAAACTGTGACATATTCAGCAAGTTTATTTACCAAGTCAATTTTTAACTTTCTTCTTTAAATTTGACCAGCGTACCTAACAAAATTGTGCATTCAGATGTCCTCAACAGAAAAAAACAGATATTGGGACAACACAGAGAGAGAAAGGGCATTGCTGTGATGAGGACGAAAAGGCTATGAGATTTATTGGATGCTACAGAAATAAGTTTGGATACTATCAAAGTCTCCTGACCATGATTTTGTTTTTATGCATTTTATTAATTAATCACATTTACCAGCTGCTTTCGTCTTATTCGGAACATGTGATGGTTTATTCACCACAATTGACCATTAAATTATTTATAACCACAAATTTTGGTAACTTGGAAGCTGCATGGTGTTTGGAACTTTTCTCATTAGCCATTTTCCTCTTTAATTTGAACATTTTGTCTTTGTTGCATGAATAGTGTTTCATGCGCTTGCGTGAAGTTAAAGGTATGCGATTAGACTAATTATTACATTTTTAGAAATTCAAAAAACAGATGTCCAAGAGATTATTTTTTACACAGATAAAAGAATAAAATAAAATAATTGTATTTAGTTTAAATACTTATTAAATTAATAAAATATAATAAATTTATCGTATGACCTTATTTTATATTTTTTATTATAATTTTTTAACCTTATAATTAAATGTAATTTAAAATAAAAGTCTATTTTTTTAATGTATGCAAAATGACCTAAATTATTATAGACGTGATCATTATATATAAATAGTATAATAATAGTTTCCTTATTTATTTATTTTTTTGTCCTTCAAAACCAAGTTTTAGTTTTACTTTTGGTATAATCCAGCGGGATGTTTAATCCTATAAGCTCTATCAAATTACGTTCAATTGTTAAATTGCGGTTGCTTAACATTTTAAATGTTTTGAGTTAATTGGTTCCATTAGTTGAATGGCTAATAGCCTCAAAATTTTCTTTGTTGACAAGACATGTTCAACGAGAATACAAGGTCTTGTCAAATAGGGGAAGTGGAAAATTGTTTCTTCTCTTCACTTATCTCTCTATACAAAATTAGAATACGATTCTAACATATTTCCTGTGATTTTAATAAGCAATACAAAAATTATTTTTTTAGAAAAGTTTGTACGTATTATAAATTATTGATTGAAATTTTTTTAATTTAATAGTTAAAAATGCAAGAAACATAAAATTAGTGATACATATTAAATTTGTTGAAGGATATATTAGTAATTTGACATACATTTTTCTCATTCTCTTTTTTTATTATCTTTCATACAGATTTTTTCACACTCTATCTTTTACCCATAACTACACAGTCAATTACCATCATTTTTTATTTTATTTCGTAACTCATCATCAAAAATTAACAAATCACATAATCTTTTTTACATAAAACCTAAAAATTATTAAAAAATAGAAAATGTTGAAATTTTGGAAGAAAAATTTGTTCAAACCCCTTTGGATAGATTAGGTTGAATAAATCTTGAAAAATTAACTGAAATAAACATATAATTTACATAAATTAAAATTATATACTAAAAATTATGTCTTTTTAAAGTTTGTAAAAATTTTTACATCTTTTTATTTAATTATTTTTGAACTAATATGTAAAAAGTACTTTGCATATTGATTATTTCTAAAATTAATGTAATTCTACATTAGTTCTAAAATTATTTCAAAAATATGCACTAATGAAGTAATGAATCTTTAGTTATACGGTTGACGAATATTGTACATTTTTTATTTAGAAATTTAATGAAGATTATATCTCAAGTAAATATTAATGATGAACTTTACATAGTTTTTATTTATAAACTCAACAAAGATTAAATCTCAAATAAATATTGATAAACATTATTAACAAATAATGCATATTATTCATTTAAATATTCATCAATGATTAATTGACAACGAACATTAATAAATATTAACATCATCATAAGAGTTATCGAAAGCAAAGACCTAATGGTTGTAATAAAAACTCATGGCCGCAACTGTTGAAAAGCGAATAACAACAATGTTAACAAATAAAGATAACGGAGAAGTTAAAAGAAAAGATAAAAAAGGAAGAGTGATGATAAGAACTGGATGAACGTTTGAAAGTATTTATCAATTTATCTTTTATTATTCATACTATAACCATTTACAACATATTGTTACCCAAAAAACTTACCTAAAAATTATTAAATTCTAATAATTCAGTTATCATAAAATCATATTAACCATCCTTAATCATATATACTTTTCTCGTTCTAAATTACTATTTTTCTAATTTTCTTGTCAAATTTAAAGAATGATATGTTCCAATCCCTCAAATAGAATGATTTGATGAATAACACGGCCACATTAGGTTTCTTAGCTAGCTTCAACTTTTAAGTTTGAAGAATTGTAGGAAAAAGTATTGACCAAACAAATTAGATTTGCAGTTACTTTTATTTCTTTTGCCTTTTTCTTCACACCAAAGGTTGTTCTTATCCTTCGCTGAACCTTCCTTTCTTTACTGTTTATTTGATTGACCGAAGAGAAAATGAATAATTAAATAGAATGATGTTAAATTTTGATAAAACAAAATGGAATGGAATATCAAATACATTGTGGGAAATCTCCATTCTTCTCCTTTTTTTTAACAGGCATATATAATTTTCATATATGACTCTTCTAATAAAATTAGATCATAATACATGCAAATATATTAAGTTATAAAATAAAAAATAATAATTAATAAGAGATCTATTTAAAAAAATAGAACACATTTTTAAAAGATTAATAATCTATTTCTAGAAAAAAAAATTATACTAATTTAAATATTATATATATTTAAAAAAATTACGTCTAATTATTACCCATCAATTTTAAATCATTTTATAAAAATATTATATATTTATGTGTGTGCACGTGAGCAAAAATTATATTTTTTTCACATTAATATTTAAAAATATTAAAATAAATAAATAATAACTTTACTTCATTATATTTCCTCCTATTTCATTCCACTCTACTCAACATTAGATATACATAATAACTTACTCTTTTGGTAGATAATTTGGAAGAGCATTTTGTTTTCCCAGTTGAATCAACGTTGATCGCTGCCCATATACTAAAGATTGATTGTTTTGTCAAGTGTCAAAAGTACAGTGTATCTTTTGATTTTAACACCTATATTTGGGGTGTGATTTGAGTGGAAGGAAGAAAAAGATAAAAGAAAAAAAATCAATAATATGATAAAAAGGGAAAAGATAGATTAAAAAAATGTAAAAAAATGAGGGATAAAAATATAAGTGTTGTTTGTTTCCCTTTCATCATTCATAGTCCCAATAGCCTTTTTAAGTTGAAAACATCAACCAAAGCCCCATAGCCTGTCCAAGGCTAAAATAACAAATATGCTAGAGTTTTCATAGTTAAATTGATACCCAGCTTCCCAACTAAACTACTTTACCTCTCCTTTTGCACAATATGTTCTAAAGATTCTTGAATGAAACATAAATTTGTTCCCAATCATTTTAATACATGTGTTCTTCATTTCAGTTTTTGAGAGACCTGGAATCGATCCTACCACATGACCAA